CACACACACACACACACACTCCCATATATTCCCAGGTATGTACACACACACACACACGCACGCACACACACTCCCATATATTCCCAGGTATGTACGCACACACACACACACACACCCATATATTCCCAGGTATGTACGCGCACACACACACACACCCATATATTCCCAGGTATGTACGTGCACACACACACACACACAGCATATTTAGGAAACCCATGGATCTCCTAAAACTACAACTAAACCCACTGGTATAGAGGCAATTCTGACTCACGGGCAACCTCACGTGTTACAGCTCTTGGCTGTTGTCCTGACTGTAAACTTTGTGAAAGCGGACCACCAGAACTTTCTTCCCCTGAAGACTCTGGGTGAATTTGAACTACCGACCTTTAGATGAGCAGCTGAGTACAACTAACCTGCACCTAACCTCCACTCGGAGGCTCCCAAAGTTCAGAGAACCCCAAGTTAAGACACACTCTTTGGCTGTCTCTGCTCCATTCTCCATAGACCCCCACCCCCAGTTCCCAGCCAAAGCGCTCAGTACAGACTCGAATGCCATGGGGTACAAGATGCAACAGTGGGCACGTGCTCATTTACTTGGAGTCGGGAGCGAAGCAGGATGGAGCCTTGGCCGTTGTGGTCGCCGTGGGTTGGGTGGATTTTTGGTCTGCAAGAGAACATGAGAGGCATTGCGGAGTGTGTCTGGTGTCCCCGCATGCCTTCTCCTACCCAAGCAGCCTCTGCAGGTTAAGGATGGGGCTGGCACTCTGAATAAGAGAGTGTGTTGTTTTGAGGTCCTGAAGCCTTTCAAACAAAAACAAATTGAAATGAAAACAAACAAACAGACCAAATCCATTACACAAATGTAAGCAGTAAGAGCTTCGTGTTTGACTGCCAGTTTGCAAATCTGACTGTGGAAATGGCTCCTTTGTTGTTGTTTGCTTGCTTGTTGGCCTGGCACTGATTGACTTGCCTGACGCAAAGCAGCCCTGCCTGGTAACCTTTCCAAATGCCCATCCCACAACCAGGGCACCAGGAAAGTACTGGTTCCCCTAAATTATCCACCTCTACGCTCAGGTCCTGATGGCGGCCCACACGGGCTCCTCTTGTCATTCCCTTGGCATTAGGATCTACATCCCGGTAAAAACCGATTCTCCAGCTTCAGAAATGCCATTGCAGTGCCATCCTCATTACAGCCCAGGACAGCATTTCCAGGTCGCCTCCCTGACTTGCCATCGGCAGTGCTGGGAGTACCGACTCTTCTCAGGGACTCACCAGGCATGGGTCTTGATTTAGAGCCGCCTCCTCCCATGCTGTCTTCTCTTTGGAATAAAAAAAGACATCTTTTAGAAAACTTAGAAGAGAGATCGTATACTGAGATTGATATTCACATAAAAAGAGGAACGGTGAGAGAAAGAAGTGATCGGTGTTCTAAGGGGCCAGTGGTCACAGACTTTACAAGGCATGGTTACCGTGGCTCAGCCGATAGGTCTCAGCTTCTCAGGTCCAGAAAGTTGATCCTGTCAGCTTACCAAGAATTGACTGATCTTTCTACGCCCGATTCCTACCAATCAATTCACAGGTGTGTGCACTGGAATGGTATGAGACAGATATTGTAATGAAGTGTATTCTAGCTACGAAAACATCCCTAAGAAAGCCAAATGGTAACCATACTTTTGCTTGGTGAGCATTGAGTTAGGTATGGATGAGGAGGGGAACGGGTGGTTTTATTGTGGGTAGCTCTCAAGTTGGTTCCCACGAACGGTGACTCCACGTGTTACAAAGTAGAGCTGCCCCATCGGGTTTTCTGGGCTGTGATCTAAGCAGAGACAGATCACCAGGCCCCTGCTGCCCTGGGGTATCCTGGGTGAATTCAAACTGCCAACCTCGAGGGAAGCAGTTGAGCACCCACCATTTGCACCACATAACTCAAAGCCAACTCACGCCACTGAGTCGATTCTGACTCACAGCGACCCTAAAGGGCAAGGTAGACCTGGCCTGGAATGTCCTGGACTGTAACTCTCCATGGGCGAAGAAAGCCTCGTCTTTTTCCTGCAGAGCCACTAGTGGCTTGGTATCAGCTCCTCATTTTCCCCCTCCCTCCCCGCCAGTCCCTCCCTCATGGACCCTTGATAATTTATAAATTATTATTATTTTGTCATATCTTACTCTTTTTGATGTCTCCCTTCACCCACTTTTTGTTTGTCTATCCCCCAGGGAGGAGGTAGATCCTTGTAATCGGTTTCCCCTTCCTACCCCACCTTCCCTCCACCCTCCCGGTATCCCCACTCTCACCACTGGTCCTGAAGGGATCATCCGTCCTGGATTCCCTGTGTTTCTAGTTCCTATCCGTACCAGTGTACATCCTCTGGTCTAGCCGGATTTGTAAGGTAGAATTGGAATCATGATAGTGGGTGGGGATAAGCATTTAGGAACTAGAGGAGAGTTGTATGTTTCATCATTGCTAACCTATACCCTGACTGGCTCGTCTCCTCCCAACTATTCTGTAAGGGGATGTCCAGTTGCCTACAGATGGGCTTTGGGTCCCCAATCTGCACTCCCTCTCATTCACAATGATATAATTTTTTATTCTTTGATGCCTGGTACCTGATCCCTTTGACACCTCGTGATCACACAGGCTGGTGTGCTTCTTCCATGTGGGCTTTGTTGTTTCTCAGCTAGATGGCCACTTGCTTATCTTCAAGCCTTTAAGATGCTATATCTTTTGATAGCTGGGCACCATTAGCTTTCTTCACCACATTTGCTTATTCACACATTTGTGTTCAGCGATCGTGTCAGGAAGGTGAGCATCATGGAATGCCAGTTTAATAGAACAAAGTGTTCTTGCATTGAGGGGGTACTTGAGTAGAGGCCCAATGTCCATCTGCTACCTTAATATTAAATCTATAAATATATGCACATAGATCTATTTACCCATCATTATAAAATATATTTACATATGTACATGCCTGTATTTAGACCTCTATAAATGCCCTTTGCCTCCTATTCTTTCCTCTATTTCCTTTTACTTTCCTCTTGTCCCACTGTCATCCTCAGCCTTCATTTGGGTTTCAGTAATTCCTCTCAGTTACATTGCCCTTGATCAGTCCCTACCAGGATTGATCCTACACCGTCCATGTCACTGAATTTGGATCACTTGTTGTTCCCTTGTCCCTGGATTTGTTAACACCACTTCCTTACCCCCACCTTTCCTGCTCCCATGTCCCCCCGAAACTGTCTGTCCCATTGTTTTCCCCTCTGCATGGTTTATCCCGCCTATCTTATCTAGATAGACCTGCAGAGATAATAACATGCACAAAAAACAAGACAGCAAAACAACAATGACAACAACAAAAATGACCAAAAAAAAAAGGAAAGCCTGTAAATAGTTCAAGGTCTGCTTCTTGACCTTTAGGAGCATTTTCCGGTGGAGTCTGATGAGGTGCCACGCCCTGGCCCCAAAGTCTATTTTTGAGACTTCCTCAGGACTTCCGTGCTCTGCTCCCTTTGCTGTTCTGTTGCACGTCCTTAGTGTTTTCCTCGGTTCCTGGCTATTTCTTAAGAGACCACGCTTTTACTTCATATTCAGGCAAATCCATAATAAAATATTTAGGCCCTGCTATTCCTGAGGGCTCTACAGGTCATTTAGACAAACAATGTCATCCAGTACTTAGGCGTTTTAATTGTTCAGCTCTGGAAAGTTAGTCACGTTGCAGGTCCGGGCACAGGGCTGGGGTGGGGGAAGGATGGGTCTCCTTGTCTTGTAACCAGTTCCGCAGCAGCGCAGCAGGATCAAGGAGCTGGTGCTCCATGGTCTGGTTTCAATGGCAGCATATTAAAGAACCAGAAAGGCTCTCAAAGGGAAGTTTAGTGAAAAGGTTAAGTCACGAGAATAGGAAGCATTGCACATCACAAAAGTATCAACAGTATGAACGATTGTCTCCCCCAGCTCATTCCAGCTCCTTTTCTGACTTAAAGGTTCACAGGGCTCTTTGTCAAGAACCATGAATCGTTGGCATCGTATCCTTGGGCTGACCAAGGAAGTTTGTACTAACTCCAGTGCCAACTGTCTGTACCCATTGGGAAGATGGGAGCGAGGAGGAGCATCGATTTCTGGAAACCCCAGCTCCACACAGTCTCTGAACAGAATGACGACGCGGTCACACAATACCACAGGGAAGTCATCACTTATAAAACCAGGCACCCCAAAACAGAAATAACATTTTCATTTGGAAACAACAGTCCAAAACATTTCACAGAAGCAGAAATTAAAACTAGACGCCATGCTCATGCTCTGTCCAACACTGCAGCATTTCCGCTTGCCAACAGAGCAACCCACGAAATGCAGCCGTTCCCACAAGCCCTCCCACAGATAAAATGAAAAGGTGAAATCACTAACGATTGGGTGGCATTTCCTGTGGGGGGAATGGCTATTGACTCCAGATTAAAAGCTTACAGCAAACACATTTACCTTTTCAGACAGTCCAGTCACCCGATGCAATGTGGGAAAACAGAATTTTTCACTCGTTCGTTACTACTCCTCTTTTTCAGAAATGACTAAACAGGGATGACAGCCTGCCCACCACCGTCCTTGCCACCAGTCCTCCTGCGTGTTGCAAAGATCTTGCCTAATTAGGCCCAAGGGTAGGTAGACTTCCTCTTTGAGGCCAACACACACACACACACCCTTCCCCCGCCCCCCAATTCCACAACCAGAGAGAGTTTCATTTCTACCTTTTGACACATGATAGCGAGGACAGAGAGAAACCACCTTTATTACTGAAGACTTATTTTAAATGTATTTCTAATTGAGTGTTTATTTCCTTGGCTTAGCCCCCTGCACAGTCCTGTGATACGGTCCTTAGCATCGAGTCTTTAAAAAAATTTTTGTCATCAAGAGTCTTACAATCTCATCTGTTGTAGCCAGGGAGAAGAGACTGATTTCAAAAATAAATTTTAAAAATGAAGAGCGCACAGTTCAAGAGTCGAGTGATAGCTGTGCAGATTTTGTGTTGAGTGTAACGTTTCCTTCAAAGGCAAGGCAAATTATGTATTTAGAAATAAGTATTTTCTAGTCATGCATTATTACTAATAGAGATATTTGTTAAATAAGTGCTATAAGCCAGGCATAGAGCTGGGTGGTGTGGATGTTCCAGAAAGCAAGGAATATATATATATATTTGGGCTCAGAGAGTCAACTGTCTAAGATGACAAAATGTGTATTAACTTGAGTACTGACTTCTTCTACCATTGGGAAGATGGGATAGAAGAGGATCATGGGAGAGAAATAATAAAGAGCTAATAATAGATTTATGATTACCTGTACAAAAGGCTCAGAAAGTGGTGACGCAAGTGGCTAACATGGGTGGCTATTCCCCGAAAGACTGCCGGTTGGAGTCCACCTCTAGGTGCCTCAGAAGAAAGGTCTGGTGATCTACTTCTGCAAAACCTCAGCCATTGGGAACCCTTGAGGGATGGCTCCCCTCTGACACATGTCGGATTGCCCTGAGTCAGGACCACCATGAGTTGGAGTCAACTGGGCAGCAACTGCTTCTTGTCTGTGAGTAAGGGTGCTTGGAGGAGACGTCACGGAGCTTACATTGGCACTGAGAACAGCAGCAGGAGAGAGCTGGAGGAAGAGTGTTGGATGGTGTGTGTGGTATGTGTTTGTGTGTGTGTGGTATGAGTGGTATATGAGTGGTGTGTGGTGTGTGGTGTGTAGTGTGTGGTCTGTGGTGTGTAGTGTGTGTAGTGTGTGGTGTGTATGTGTGTAGTGTGTGTGGTCTGTGGTCTGTGAGTGTGTGGTGTGTAGTGTGGCTGTGGTGTGTGTGTGACTGTCACCTTTATGGAAGCAGATTACCAGGTCTTTCTCCTGGGGAGCCTCTGGGTGGGTTCAAACCGCCACCTTGCAGTTTGTAGTTGACCTCTTAGCCTTTACACTACCCTGGCACCTTCTAGTCATCAGAGTTCTATTTTCTAAGGTGAAATGCTCCCCCGTAACCCCCTACCTCAACCCCAGACCCTGTACCCACGCTGTCTGCTGACCTCCCCAGCCTGCAAATGTCAGCTTAGATATGATGTGAGTAGCTCTGGTAGCCTGGCCATGTTGAATTGGGTACAGAGCTGTTACTAGGACTCAGTAAGAGCCAGGGGCTACTTTCAAAAAGGAGAATCTGTGGAAGAAGCCATGGCATTGATCTAGCATCCTCAGAAGTCCGCGCGGTGATTGCCCACTGACTCTACATCACCCTATGGGTCCCGGACACACTTGAGCACCATGGAATTGTCAGGAGTGCCTGAGCAGGTGATCCCTGAGGCATCTGAAATAACAGAAATGTATTCTTTCATGGTTCTGCAGGCTAGACGTCCAAGATCAAGGGGGTGGCAGGGTTGGTGCCTTCTGGGAGGTTCTGGGAAAGAACTTGTCCAAGACACCTCTCCCAGTTTCTGGTGGTTGCCAGCCATCCTTGGCATTCCATGGTGTGTACAGCTCCTTCCCATGGACTTCTGTGTCCAAAATTCCCTCTTAGAAGGACAGGAGTCTAGTTAGATCCAAGGCCCACACTAATCCATTATGACCTCATCTTTAACTCGAGGTCAAAATGGGTTCTGAAAAAAACCCGATTTCCAAGTAAGATCACTTTGCCTCAGGTTCTATGTGGACATTAGTTTTTGTGGGACACTATTCAGCCCAGCGAGGAGTCCTGGTGACATAGTGGTCATGTGTTTCATCAACAGTCGTATTAACTTCTTCGTCCCCATCAGGTCCTGTCGTTATGATACCACTAATGTCGTGGATCAGCATGATGTCGTGGCTGATGGTAAGGTGACGAAGCTTTCTGGAAACAGGAGTAAGTCAGAGGGTCCGAGAGGCAATGTGGACTTGAAGTGAGGCAATGCAGGGGATATGCTGCACCGACAGCATTTGCGCAAGTGGCTGCACACAAGACGACATTTAGACGTGCAGAAGCCACTTGTAAAACAACTGCTGTCGTTAGTTATCGCCTGATGATGATTCAGCACAATGCAGCTCTCTTGCGCACGTGCTGGCCCTTCTCTGACCCTTCTTTATCAGTGGCCCTTGACTGGTTGACCTCTTCTTTCTTCTAATCTGTCTGAGAGGTCATTCTCTTCTCACTGTGTAGTATTTCCCTAGGTTATTTCATTCACTCCGAGCACCGAACTTGCTCTCTGGACGTGACAGATGCCTTGCTTTGTATTTCTAGCCATAGCTTTTATGTGAGTTGAAGTTAATGTCCTGCATGTCACCCCATGGACATCTGTCAGCTCATTTACAATAATAAAACTGAGCTCAGTGTCTTCTTCCTGGATGCCTGCTTCTCATTTATTTTCTATGTCAATTAACAGCATCACCACAAAGCCAAATCCACGTGGACCACCAAGTGGGGCTGAGGTGAGCAATGCTACCATAAAATGTGTCTGACTGCATTATTGTAATCTCTCTTCTATCACTCATGCTCTCGATGACTTTAATATAATATATATATATCTCAACCATACAACTGTGCACACTGAAACCGAGATTAGTGGTGGGGGGCTGGCCCCCTCACCTATTACTACAATATCATTGTGAATGAGGGGAAGTGCGGGGTGGGGACCCAAAGCCCATCTGTAGATAACTGGACATCCCCTTATGGAAGGGTCGCTGGGAGGAGATGAGCCAGTCAGAGTGCAGTGCAGCAACAATGAAACATACAACTTTCTCTAGTTCCTAAAGGCTTCCTCCCCCTCAACTATCATGATCCCAATTCTACCATACAAATCTTGCTAGACTAGAGGATGTACACTGGTACAGATAGGAAGGAACTGGAAACACAGGGAATCCAGAATGGATGATCCCTTCAGGACCAGTGGTGAGAGTGGCGATATGGGGAGGGTGGAGTAGAGAGGGGGAACCGATTATAAGGATCTACATATAACCTCCTCCCTGGGGGACGGACAGCAGAAAAGTGGGTGAAGGGAGACATTGGATAGGGCAAGATATGACAAAATAATAACATAAATTATCAAGGGTTCATGAGGGAGAGGGATGCGGGGAGGGAGGGGAACAATGAGCTGATGCCAGGGGCTTACGTGGAGAGCAAATGTTTTGAGAATGATGAGGGCGGTTAATGTACAAATGTGCTTTATACAATTGATATATGTATGGATTGCGATAATAGTTGCATGAGCCCCCAATAAAATGATTTAAAAAAACCCAAAACTTGCCACTCTCGATTTCTGACACCACTCTCCACTCTGTTCATTTGTCGCACAGGGGTGGCTTGCAACTGCTGTGATGTTGGCAGCTCTACAGTGGCGTTTGGAGTAGCAGCAGGGGCACACGCTGGGTGGACAGGTGTCAGGTGAGCATACAGGAGGACAGACTAGGAAGGACATAGATTAGGTAAAGTAGGTTAGGCAGTGAAAACCTTATGAATAGTCATGGAGGGGACTCAACAGATGACAAGGAAAGAGTTGTCTCCCCAAAGTAAAGCCCACCTTAATGACATGGATAGAGTAAGCTTCGGGGACCTTCTTCTGCTGATGTGGTGTGATTTCACCATTAATAATCAGATTGTGGACTGGATCAAGTATAAATCCAGGAAAACTGGAAGCTGTCAAAATGAAATGGGACAGTGGAAACTACTCTAGGCATCAATGTACTGACAAGGACTGGTATGAGTCATTTTAAACGGATAACCATGCGGTCTGCTATGCGAGGAATGGCAGTTTGAAGAGTGGTGGATTCGGCGCATTTGAATCCACCATCAGAGAACATTTCAAGATCTATGCTTAAGTCTAACACTGT